AAAAAAAAGAAGAAAAAAACCCACAACACTTCAGGAGGAGGAGGAGGGAAGCAGGGAGGAGAAATGCAACTCAAAAAAAGGGAAGGGAAAAACAAAAAGGGGGGAAAAAATTAAAAAAAGGCAAAGGAAAAAAAGGCAAGCGACCAGCTAGCTATGACAATGCAAACGGGAGGGATAAAACCCGGGAAAGGGGGATTTTTGTTAAGTACCGTGGAGGAGTCGCCGCCGTGCCGGGACAGGCACCCGCGAGGCTGGTGGCACCTCCGTGTCCCTCACACGTGGCCCTGCGGGGACGGGCGGGAGGCCGCCGCGCAGCAGCGGTGAGAGAGGCCAAGGAGGAGGAGGATGAGGAGGAGGAGGAGGGCAGCCTTCGTGGGGAACGGCCTCTCTTTGCGCTTGACGCTCTCGCTCGTGCCCGCTAAGGAGCAGCTGGTGGCGGCCGAGGCCTCGCGCTCTCCTGCTGCCCTGTCTTTGCCTTCTCAGGGAAGAACCCCATGTCCCTCAACACCAGCAATGAACAAAAATGGGGACTTTTTTTGGCCATTTTTTAAACCCAGCCTTTCAGATGTGCTCCAAGTCTTGCTCTGTTTCCCCACCAGCCTGGAGATAAATCGATTCCTGTCAATGGAGGGGAAGTTCCCAAATTCCAAAGCAAGTGGCTGGGCAGTGCTCTGGGGTTCTTCCCCATGGAAAGCCAKGCACCTTTTCAGGACTGAAGGCGCTCGGCGCTGGGCTCTGGGCCAATCTCCAGCATTTTTTCCCATGGGAAGGGTGGTTCCCACTCAGCACTGCTGGAATTACTTTGATCTCAAGATGGCTGGAGACACAGAGGCCACCATAGGTGAGGGTGGAGAAGGAGAATGACCCATGGACTTGGGGGAGCACRAGATGTGGTGAAGAAGTAACAGAGTTAGTCACAAGGTGCCATACCCCCTATACACACAAAACSCAGGCTCTGAGCCTGCAAGTGCCCACCCTAGTTGACTTGGCCTCCTGGAAGAACTTGTAACCTTAACTACTGCACTCCAGTGTCCTCCTGCCCTATCACTTGCGGCAAAACTTGGCCAAACGCATGCGGCAAATTGGTTATCTTGCTCTTAAATGAGAGGCCACATCATCTGTCCAAAGGATGCTCCAACAGGAATAAACTCTACTTATGACCAGTCACCCCCAAAAAGCAGACCTGTGGCTGGCCGGAGGATCACTCAAGCTCTCCCGTGCCTTTGGAGGCCACATTCAACAGGAACTCAAGGACTGAAACCATGAGCCTAGCCTGAAAACAAGCCCAAAGAGGAGCAGCGACTCACCTTGCAGAGCTCCTCCTCAAGCAAACCTGCTGCATGAACAGTAACCAAAAGCAGCCAGTCCCTTCACCCTGCACGCAGCCTGCAGCCAGCCTGTGTCCATCCTCTGGGATCCAACTCTGGCTTCCCTGAGGTCACTTCCAACTGTAGGAGCTAACAARGACAGCGCAGGCACGGTCTCTCCTCCATGCACCTGCCAGGTACCACCGTTTCTCCAGCATGGCTTGGGGAATGCAATGGCCAGAGGAGGACCCCAACCACTTTGGACCCTATTGGCATTTGGAAGCCTGTGTCCTTCTTTTCCAGAGCCTGATACCCGCCCGATGCTTGCTCAGCTCTACAGTGGGTGGCCCTGCAGACAGAACTACAAGCAGGCATCAGGTRCTGCTTTCCTTGATGGAAAAAAATCCACTGCTGGCCTCCTGCACAGGTCCCATCCATCATTACTTAATGCTGGATCATGTAAAACACTGGGGACGCGCTCAGCGCTCTCCTTATCGGGGCTGATAAGGTCTCACACGCCTCCTCCTGCTTTGTTTCCTCCCCTCTCATCCTGCCCGTCCCTAGCAGTACTGCAACGAAGGGTACGGGCGCAGGCACGGGTTGGGAATAGCCTGGTACCTTTGCCACGGGAGCAGGAGCGGGAGCCGGTGGCCGTGTCCTGCTGCGTGCGCGCGCAGCCGCGCTGATGGAGCAGGGCAGTGGCCGGGGCAGCCCCGCGAGGCGCGGGCGCAGCGCGGGCGCAGCGTGGGCAGCGGTGCCCGCGGGCCGGCGGCGCTGCCCCGCTGCGAGGTAGCGTGCGGGCCCCGGGGCGAAGCGGCCGGGCTGCCGCGCACGGCAGGAGCGAGGCGCCGCTGAGGTACATTTCTGGCTCCTCGACGAGGAACCCAGCACGAGGCCGTGCACTGCTTTTGGTTTGGTTTTTGTTGCTGTGTTTTTCTTTCTCTTTTTTTTTTTTGTTTTGTGCGGCAGCAATTTTTGCTCTTCCTCCTTACAATCCTTCTACCTGTCGAAACAGCCTTCGGTGGGAAGGGGTAGGGAAGGGGCAGGGGTGGTGTTGTGGTGGCGGGGAGCTGGAGCGGGGACGGGAAGGGGGGAGAGTGGCTTCTACCCAGAAAAGAAAGGGAAGAGAGTATAAAGAAGTGTCCAGATTGGCTGAAAAAAAGCATCCCGACGAAGAGAAGAGAAGAGAAGGAGTCTTCGCGTGTGTGCTGATTGGGTTCACCTCCAGTCTGACTGCTGCGGTGTTCGGAGAGGCCCCCTCCCCTCCTGCCCCCGCCGGGGCCGGGCTCAGCCAGGGATGCAATTTGCCGGGAGATCAGTTGGAGGTATCAGAGTGAACGCTGCCAGGGCCTTCTGTGGGGGAGGTCACCGACGACGGGGTAGTAGCGTCTTGCCAACCTCCATTAGCCTGCGGGAAGGGAGGGAGAGACACCGCTGGATGAGCCGCTGCCACGGGCGCCCACGGCCGCCGCCACCGAGCCCCATCCTGCCCCTTCCTGCGGCCAAACTCATCCTTCAGTGCTGCTTTACCCCCACGTGGGACCCTCCATCCCTCGAGCCGCAGCCGCCGCCGGCCCCGGCGGCCGCCCCTGCCCTCCTTGCTCACAGGTGGGACAGCGACGACCCCCAGGACACCCCCCAGGAGATCCCCACACCGCAGGTGGCAGCAGGACCCGCCACCCCCTCGCAGCCCCCGCGCATCCCCCCAGCAGCCGCCCTTCCACAGCTCGGACCGTGGCGAGAGGCAGCAATTACTGCAGATTATCAGCCCGACAATGACAGGCCGTGTAAAGAGAGACACAGAGCCAACTCCGCCGCCCAGAGACTGGCATATTCAAGTACACTTAGGACATTAATAGCAATTTACGTGCCATCAGTGAGAGAGAACCACAATAGCGGCGCTGGCAGCCTCTTATTACGAAGCCTGTTATTTGTTGGAGTTACAAGCTATAATCACAACAGAAACTTTCAAAACCCTTATCTTCCGTGACGCACCAAATCTATTTCAGAGCCGTAATTGCTATGTCACCGGAGCGTTTGCTGCTTAATGCACTCAGATGCCATTTAGTGTTTGCAGGGTCATTACAGCGAGCAGAAGAGGGGAGGAGGAGGAAGGGGGGCCCTCCGGAGCAGGGCTCGGTCCCTATTGTGCCAAACTATTTTTAGAGAGGCTTTCGCCTGGCAGCCGTGGCTGAAAGGAGCAAGAGRGAGAAGATCTTGGCGACAGTGACGGCGGTGCCTTGATATTCAGCRTCTCTCCCCCTGTTCTCCCCTTTCTGCCCTTCCTCCCCCTAAAATGCGGGGAAGCCCCACGGTACTGCAGATTGGGAATCACCTTCCTCTCTTGCAGGGAAGGAGCTTGTGTCTTGTGTCCTCATGATCTCCTCTGTCACAGGATTCAGTGGGAAGACATGAGGATTTGGGGAGGGTGCTGATCCAGCCTCCCAGGGCTCCTTAGCTGCAGGTGGAGCAAGGGGAAAGAGGCTCCACAGCTGACCACATCCCAAGCATCTTGGGGCATCTGTTGCTACATGGTTTGGACAAGCTCTCCACAAAGAGGCTGGGTCCTTCACCCTCTTGAAGGCAYGTAGTCACCACCCATACTCACCCCTCTGCTCCCTGGGTCCATCCTGTTGTAGCCGGCAGAGCTCCCTGGAGCACAAAGCTTGGGAGCCTGCTGGGTATACAGTGGGTGGTGGCCTTGGGGCTCCTGTCRTGACATTCAGTAGGGCCACATGCCCGGCCCATGCAGCCACCTCTGCCTCTTTTCCCTACGTAAGGAGATCAGCTCAGATCTGACCATAATGAGCATTTTTGGATCTGCTGTGATAAGCACACCTAGCACACACCTGTGATAAGATGTTTCTGAGGCRTCAGCAGTGACTCTGGCAAGCCCTCGCACGCAGCTGTGGCTGTTTCCAGAGGGACAGCAGCCAAAGACAGACCACCTTCCCAAAGATCATGGGCACGGCCTTGCTGGCTGTCCAAGCTAYGGAGCCACACTGATGGATTGCTGAAGTAACCATTTTTAGTGCCCATTTCTTTTATTGCCGCAAAACTCGCAGTGCTTTTGTCACCTCCAGCAAGTCTGGCAGGTTGTCAGCTCGGGGGCTGGTAGGTGACTTTCTGCCTYGTTTTTGATGAGCGCTCTGCTATGCACAGAGGCTGTTGAAGCATCCTGCTTTCTGTGACCAAATCCTTGTCCCACCATCCACGGGCCGGCCAACAAATGCATCAGATCACACAGGGGAAACAGAGAACCTGATGGAAYAGGAGTAGCCTCAAAGAGATTTCAGATCTGCAGATTTTTAAGAGCCTCCTAGTCTCTCCTTGACTAAGCACTCAAATTGCTATTAAACAAGAGGGAACCCAGTCAGATCCGGCCAGCCTGAGGAAACCAAGCCACACGTGATGGGTGCTAGAYGTGAGGGGCACCTGGCACCACGTAGGAACATCCAAAGTCATTTTTYCAGAGTTGTGATGGCAGCTCTCTTCCTGCAGTCTTCAGCAGAGGCATCTTCCACAAGTGATCAAATACGCATCTCTCACAGACCAAAAAGCCAGTTTCCATTTGCAAATCAAAGCTTGTGGAGGGGCAGGGCTGCAGATGCCTTCCTGCAAGGCACCTTCTCRGAGAAGGGGTTCTCATCACAAGCTTCCTACAAGTACTGGGGCCACTGGTGTGCACTGTGATGATCCTGACTTCAGCTGACAAGAGTGGATGCAAAAATCAATCTCGCACACCCTGCTACTCACTACCAACGTCTTAATGACAAATACTGCTGCGTAAATACACCCAGCAACACAGAACAGCATTTATAAATCAAAAAATTTGCACACTGATGAACTTTAAAAATAGCCTCCTGCATTAGACTTTTAAAATATATATAAATTGGCCTGTCCAATTTTCTCTGCTAGAGGGCTAGGGATGGGAGGAACAAGGGGGAGAAGGAGAGGGTGTGCTGAAAGAGTTTTTGCTAAGATGATTATATCTCATTAGTTAATTAGCTGGCTGACCTATGCGTTTGTAGCAACCTCATTGTGACTTACAAGTGTGCTTGTAGGGAAAGGCACTGGAGCAACTGCACTTCATAACACAAGTGTGTTGGTACAGCAGGAAAGCCCTGCCCTGCAAAGGCTGCCTGAGATTCACTCCGTGGTCAGCACTTGTCCCCAGATGGGTTCAACAGGGATTTAAGAACTTAAAATACTTAACAAATTTAGGCTTGTAGAGTAGTGCAAGAAGGGCAATACTTTGAGCTGGGGCTATCCAGCAGCTTATGGGACTAAGAATCTGACTTTTATTGGGCGTCATCACAACATGGGCTTCTAAATCCTTTGAAAATCCCAGCCAGGAGGACTCAAGGACGGATATACATGCAGACCCCCCTGAAAAGACATCATCCAGTGCAAAAAAACCCAGCCTCAAAGCTTGCAAGAACAGCCCAATCGAGCCCAAAGCAGCAGCTCTGTTCAGGCATCAGGTCCTTCCTTCCTCCCGGGGCCATCCAAGGCAGGCAGGGCACCTGCATGAGGCTCCTGCCCTGATTGCCCCTCCGCTGCTCCTTGCATGAACACGTGAGGCCGCAGAGCCCTCTCCTCTTGCTGTGACTCTGTGCTTCCCGCCGTGGCTCCGGCTGGGATGAGCAGCCAGCTGCTTTCCCTCTGCCTCAGCCATCACCGCGGGTCACGGGGATGCGCTGGTCGGGACACAGCTGATGATTGTGGTAACGATGCAGAACTGGCTGGGGCAGCGCGGGCCGCTCTGTCAGCCGCCGGGCAGCTGCGGCCAGCAGACACATTCACAGCAGAGCCAGGAGGAAACGGGGCTCTGGGTATATCTGTGTCCTCGGCTGTCACGACTTACACGCATCTAAAAATCCATCCTCCATCAAGGGCTGCGACGCCTGCGCGTTGCCTCCCTCGCCAAGGTCTGTAACGGCAGAGCTGGGGAACCTGCTCCTGACTTCCCAGGCCTGACGGGCTCTGGGGATGGCTTAAGCTCAGCCCTGCGCGGAGATCTTTGTGACAGGGCTCTTGACTAGGCTTCGGTTCATCTCCTCCCAGCGCCTCACAGGGATCCTTGAGTTATGCAGGGTTTGCACAGTTTTCAGTGTCACTAGCAGCCTTCTCCTGCAACCCACTGCCCTTTCTCTGCATTGAAAGGTTTAGTTAAAACCTGCCTGCATGTCTGACGAGGCTCCAGGGCTCTTCTTCCCCGTGCCCGAGTTAAGCAGTTGCTTGGACTTTGCTGAGGAGCAAGGCTTTCCCAGAAGGCAGCCACAGTTCAGGGATGGACAAGCCACATGGCTGTGGTTCATCAAGCACTCGGAGCTCTACTTGGGGAGACATTAAGCGACCATAAAAGCCACAGAGACCTGCTTCCAGGGATAGGCGGGAAGCAAAACACCTCCGGAGAAGGAGACACACAACCCAGAAGATGCTTCCTGAGCATCCTGCTTGTCTCTGAACAGACTGCCCTGCTCTCTGCCTTGCTCTAGGTGCCTGCCAGAGTCACAGCCCCTATGTGTGGGGAAATGCAYCTCCTGGAAGTGAGGAGTCATCCCCAAAACTCAGGTGGGCATTTTGTCCACTTGGTACACTGCTCCTCCCTGAAGAGCATTCCCTGCTCCTGGCCCCTTTGGGCCAATTTGGGCTTCCGCTGCCTCAGCRAATGAACCTAAGCAGCCTGGTGGCTCCCACACATCCCAGAGCCCACCTGGGAAGTGCGGGGTGGACCACAGAGCCTCTGCCAGCTTCACGGTTCCCAGTGATGTCCATGGCATCACCATTACCCCATTACCACCGCYGCCGATGGCCACAAACCCAGACGAGCTGTTCTCATCCTATGTGGCTTTCAAGCTCATACTACCTCTTTCTTCTCCGCTCTCCCGTTGTCCCCCTCCCTGCTTCACAATCCCCAGCAGCAACCCTCCCCCCAAATTTTGGCTTAACCCRGCCCACTGTTATTTTCCAAGCCAACTGCAGCCATAATCAGCTCAGCCTCTTTCCTTAGGGGTATTTTAATRTATACAAAAGTATCATCTCTTATCACGATCAGCCTCCGATTCATTTACTCTCCAAGTATTAAAAAGCCAGAAAGGGAATAAATTCAGCACACAGAGAAATTAATGCGGAACGATAGGCTCTTTCATGTGGCATCTCCAAGCACCGTTTTTGCAAGGGGCTTATGTAATGAGACATAATTATCTGCACATGTTCAATTACATTACTTCACAAATCCTCCCTGCCCTGCCTCGTGACGTCAAGCTTCCCGCTAAGCCCCGGCGCCCGCTCCAGCGCCGCGCACCCGAGCGAGAGGGGAGGGAAGCACCCAGCCCTGCGACCGCCTCGCCCACCCTTCCCTTCCCTTCCCTCCCCACGGGGCAGTGTGGCCTCTGCCACACTGAAAATCCACAGGATTTACATGCCAGGTCCTGCCCTGGCAAAACCCAGGTGGCCTCTTGGCCAGCAAGGGTGAAGGGTCTCTGAGGGAGACGCGACAGGTCCATGGTCCTGCTGGGCTACCTGGACACGGAGCTGCCATCCCACCTGAACTGATGGCTGGCAGCTGAGGCCACGTTGTCCCTTCCCCAAGAGAAACGTCAAGGCGGGGAAGGGCTGCAGGGTGCGAGGAAGCTCTTTCAGTGCCTCCTCTTGCATCACGTCTCCTCTCAGCACCTTCACTTTACATTGACGAGGAGCCACAGATGCCRGCTGGCAGAGCCGGGGGCTCCCCACGCGTCTCTCCACCATGCTCCCGGAGCTGGATTGCTTGGAGAAGACACCCATGGTGCTGCCGGGGATGGGAACCGCRCGCCGGGGCTGAGCTCCCCATCGCGACTCCTCTTGCAGCCCTTCCCACGAGCTACACCAAAACCCAACAAACGCCGCCTTGCTGCTTGTCCCAGGAGAACCCCACCTGGGTCCRTACCCCTCCTCGAAAGGGACCGCGGTGACCGCAGTGGCCACCACAGTTGGCCATATTGTGGCCAACCACCCCCTCATCCCTGCACCGCGCCGGCCAGCCGCCGCGGAACCCGCTCTGCACGCGCAGCCTCCTTTTGCAGGCTGCCCCCTTCTCCCAGCTTGCTGTCACCGCCGCTGAGATGGCGGACGATTGATCTGAGAAATGAAGTTGGATTGCTGTCCCAAATCTACACTCGGTTCTCCTTGTGTGTGTCTGATCGATTTTGCCCTGTACGACACAGCTTGTCGCTATGAATTTTCATGCTAGTCAGAACCCGCCAGCRCACCCAGGAACAAGTAGAAGATGTTTTGAAGCCTTCCCTCCCCCTCCCGCCCTCTCCCATCTCCGTTGGGTGAGCTCTCCTTGGGTGGCGCTCTCCTTGGCGCGCTCTCCACGGCCATCCTTCCCACCATGGCCATGGCCAATGCCGTCGCCCTCCCTCTTCCCGGGCCCAGCTCGCCGTGCCGGCCGGGGACGGGTTATCTTTTAGCGGGCCGCCCGGGTTGCCGCCATCGGCCTCCTCGCCCGCCCGTTCCTGGTGACATTCCCCAGCGCCGCCGCACTAGGTGTCACCTGTTCCGCAGCTCCTCCCGGCGGCGCGCGCGTGGCCGCAGGTGCCGCGCGGACGCTGATCCGCTCTGACAGGCCTAGACGCCAGCTGCCTGCACGGAGCCTGCCCAGTCGCCACTTTTCTTCGTGGGCAAGACTCTGCCGTTGGCGTGACCGATACCGAAGCAATAAACTAGGTGACCGTAAAAGCAAAGACAAGTCCGACTAAGTGGCATTCTGAGCCCTATGGCTTTGAAATAATTGGTAGTGAGAGAACAAAAATGGAAGGAGAAAGGGAAAAAAAAAATACAACAAGAACCCAAGCCTATTTTTTTTTTCTTACACTGATGCCCTGCGGACTATACATCTGACTTGCTGCGAGTCCGTCACTGTATCCTCCTGTCTGGCTGATAACATGGCGAAGGGTATCCACCTAAACAAACCAACGACAACAAAGACACAAATTAGAGTGGAAGAAAGGTTAGCGGGCAAAGCTGCTGCCGTTCATCTTTGGCAGGGCAAAAACAAGCGAGCAAACAGTAATAGTAATAAAAGTATATATTTAAAGAAAGAGGGAAAAAACAAAACAAAAAACAACAAAAAAGACCGGGCTTGGTTTTGGAGTGACATCCAAGAGCGAGGGCTGTTCCCGCCTCCCTGGCCGCCTGCCTGGTGGCCTCGTCACGCTTCCTGGTTGGTCTCAAGTCTACAGCAAAGGTGGCAACCAGGGTGGCGGGCGTGCAGGGGGGCTTGCTGGAGCACGGCGCTGCAGCCACCTCCCCGTTGCACCCGATGAGCCATTTAGCGACCCTGTCCCTTGCCAGCCTTTGGTCCCGAGTGCCAAGAGGTCACGTCAATGGAAGGACATCCTCTGAGTTGGGTGAGTGCAGCTCCCCGCTTGGTTTCAGAGGGCAATATACCTACCACCACAAACGTATCACCATCTCTCCTCCACATGTCCCCTTCCTCTCCCTCCACTACCCCGTGCTGGCCCCGTGAGAGGTACATGAGGTGAGGACATCCCATTGCCCATGGACAGCACGTAGTCTTTGCGTCCAGATTCGTGAGGGGAGCAACCTTGGCTTTAGGAAGCGCTCTTTGCCCAACATGAAGGTGTCAGAGTGAGTGTCATTTCTCAACATGATGAAGTTTTACATGCCAGAGAGTAGACTCATGGCATATCTGGATATCAGATGGGAAGTGGGAGATCAGAGTGAGGTTTTTTTTTTTTTTTTCTCTTAATTCTTTATTTTTGCCCAAAGCATGGGCTGACATTTCAGTAACAGTGCCCAAAGTTGCCTTGCTCTGTCTTGTTGGTCTCTAAATGGGTGGTGTGAATGCCTGAGCTTCAGGGAAATGGGGAGATGATGAGTGGGTGGCTTCTAATTAAAAAAAAAAAAAATCTAGCTGCTGTGTATTTCAGCACTTTGAGCAGACTACTGGTTCGGCATCAAAGGAGYGAGTGGAAGCCTTGTAAAACGAGACACCAGTCCAAACATCTGGCCCCTTCCCTCGGAAGAATAAAGCAAGCAGAACCTAAACCTCAACTGCTTTCTTTTGAGTACATGCCTGTTCTCCTAAACATCCTCTCCTCCTAATATGACTATCAAGCCAGAGCCAAATGCATTCACAAAGTGTGGGCAAGTTTCCTCAAGACCATGGTTTGTTGGTTTGGTTGGGTGTTTCGTTTTGGTTTCTTTTTGATCGTTTTTTTGGTTGCTCTTGCCTTTTTTTTTTTTGGTTCGTTGGTTGCTTTTTTGGTTTGCTTTGCCTTTTTTCAGTGTTGGTTGGTTCGTTTGTGCTGGCTGAGATTTGCTCTTTTCGGAGGGGAGGGAGAAGTGCCAATACAATCAGAGGCTCCTCCAACACTAATGCATTCACTGGCAGTACATCGGATGGGTCCCTACCTGTGACTGCACGTTGGCTCCAACCTGGGCCCCTTGGTAAGAATCCCCATTGAGAGACTGCACGCTCATGAACAAATCTCCAGAGTTTGACATGTTAAAAGAACTGGAAGAACCTGGAAAGGAAAGAGTGAGGCACCTGAATCACAGAAAGGAAAAAGATCCACCCCATGACTGTCAGCCAAGAGGAAGGAACAACATGCAAAGCAACCACAAAAACAAAACACACAGTCAGGTTAGTAGTATGAAGAACAGAGCAAGCAAAAAAGAAAAAAAAAAAAAAAAAAGGATGCACTCTTAAGGTTATTCAAAGCCACATGTTGTTACACCTCAATGTCAAGAATGTCTCTGAACAGCCCCTCAGCTGGAGGAAGAATTCTTCATGCTCTGGACCAAGAGAAACAAAACTCAGCCTGGAAGACTTGGACAGCCTTTTCCCTTCATTTCCAAGCATCAAAATCCTTCAGGCAGCTTTGAAAATTTTGATTTTTGGAGGTGTCCACCCAGCAGATTGCACAGGATAACTGAATTACTCCAACAAGCCTCGCTATAAAAAGCAGAAGCCTTTTCAGCAAGGCTAACCAGACCCACGCTACCGCGGCTGCTGGGAAGCTCAGCTCGGCCTGGTTTTATCTACATCGCAGTGCTCTCTGCAAGGTGAACCCATCCAGGCACCATCCAATTGCAAGGCCAAAGCACCCACTGAGGGAGCGGAGGGTGGAATTTGCCTTCAGGACACCGCAAGAGCAGCGATGTCACTGTCACTCCACAAGAAACCCATCACTGGTGGGAACTGCAGCATGCCAAGAGCGAAGGCGCACAAAAACGGGAAGGCACCTGGGTCGCCTTCCATTACCAATCACTTTGGCTACTGTCTTTCATTGTGATGGGCTATGAGAGAAAGCAAGGCTGTCATTTTTTCCTACTGGGCCAGCTGCCCAAGAAGAACAAGCTACGTAAGCAAATTCCCCACCACATGCACCAGTCGCCAACGTTAAACTGAAAAAAAAGATGGTTACAGTGAAGACAACTGGGTGGGTTAAGAAAAAAAAAGGACAATCAAATGATAAATTAAGAAAAAAAATCTTCCTGCTTTTGCAGAAATAAGCTTTTCTGCTTCCAGCTCAGAGGTATCTGAGCGCCTAACAACTGTTGAACGGGAGAAACAAACCCATTGTGTAACTGGAAGGTGGGTGGGAGGGAAGGGGGTTAAAAATAAATAAAAAGGTTTTATGGGATTATTGAGAACTTGTCGTGCAGTTCAGCGCATTAAGTGTGAGACAGCTCCACGTGCAAGGTTTGGTTATAAACATGACGTTAGCCTTGGAAAGGAGAGACTTCAGGGGCCCAGGTCAGCTACACTCTCGGATCCAGCCCCAAATACACTCTCATCTTCTCCAGTGCCGTTTCCAGCTTGGCAGACTGGCAACCACAGTCCTGGTGGAATTGCCCAACTATGGCTCATGTGTACTCTCTGAGAAAGGGCTGAGAAGGAAGGAACCCTCTGCACAGACTCCAGCTCTCCCCTGGAAATCAAGCAGGAAGGCTTCTCCGATGGAAACCACCTCCACGAAAACCCAGGGAGCAGAGGGGAGGTCTGCGCTAGAGGGTTCACATTCACTAAGTTTTCTACTGCTCTCTTGGCAAAGGGCTCTTCTACACACGCTAGCAAGTCTCGGAACTAAAGGAAGGCAGAAAAATCCCTGCTGGATGCAACATTCAGGATATAGGCAAGAGAAAGAGGAGTCTTGGATCAGGACCCTCCCACTCTTGCCTGGAAGGGGCAGAGCCCGGAATAGCTCCATTGTGTGTGTTCACTGCCAATCCTGCCCAGGGAATGATGAAACAACGGGACATGAAACACCCAGGACCAGGCGCGAGGCAGCCGTAACCACCATCTCCTTCTGTCAGCTGCCAAAGGGCACCTGCCACTTCCCAACCCCTCGGGTTACTCGCTATTTTAAAAGCAAAGGCCATGGAGAGCGAGCTGGCAGGCCGAGGATACGCCACCCTGGGCACCACCACCAGCACAGCAACATCTTCTACCTTCCCCCACCAAAATAAAAATCATAATAAAAAATAAAACCAACATAAACTTAACCAATATCTTATTGAAACTTAACAAACCTGCCTGTAAAAKTGGGAATGGGAGCGAGGAAATAAAAATAAACAGCTACAAAGTCTAGCCCTGAAAAGCGCCGGTGTCTTGGAAATCATGAGGAGCGCTGGAGTTGTCACTTGCAAGATATACACTGCTATTGGCACAGGGTATTTTTACAATATATGTGCATATCTAAACGGTAAATATGTCTTGCTGCTGATGTGGATGCAAAGATAAATATGCGCATAGCAATGGCCCGCATGTATGGATGCATTTGTATCAGAGCCGTAATTGCAGGGAGCCCTTTATGCTGCCTGCCCTGCTGGTTCAGCACTCTGCTCCGYGTGTACTAGCCAGGTGTGACAATTACGGCGGCCCCAAGTCTCAGAGAAGCAGCTAAGAGGGGCTAATGCACTGGGGTGCTTGGCAGAGGAGGCAGGAATRAGAAGAGCCCTCGGAATTAAGATGCTGGTATCCTCAGAGGGGACAAGACTAGGGAATACAAGTCAMATCTACTGGAAGAAGCTCCATCATAAATCTAATCTGTGTCTCTAAAAGGCTCCATCTTAAACACAACACAGCTTTTCCATGGTCGTAATTTAATCTCARAACCTCAAGAATTGAGATATAATGATCATGTGTGAGCTTGTAAACTCTGGACAAGAGGGCTCTGCTTGTGACATGGCAATCCCCCGATGCCACAGCTGAAACAAAGGACACCAGGGAAAACAACAGTCCATGCAGCTTGGAGCACTGTGGAACAGTGGTTCATCTACAGCATCTSTACAGCTTATCAAACCCAAGGCCTATCATGACCATTCCTTGGTGCTGCGTTTCCATCGAGCCAGCAGCAATTGCAGGAAATAAAGTTTRAAACAAAACATGCTATGGCATTCAGATCTTGCCTTTGGGTGAAAGTCTACCTTTACACGATGCCAGCAAAGGGATTCCTTCAATCCCTAACACTTGTGATGAGCAAAACTCCCTGGAAGCTTGTCTCCAATTAAAAAACTTTCTCACAGGCTTGATTGCTGGTATTTCTGCAACACCTGCAGTTCTTCAGGGTGCTCATTTGCCAGTTTCTGGAATGATGTTCCCAGCCGAAATCAAGCCATCTTCATTTGCTGCTTCGTTCCACCCTCAAAGGTCAGGTAGACGTTCAGCACTGAAGTCAACTTCCATCATGTACACAAGGCCTGAAGTTAATGGCAGTGACACTCACACATCACGAGCATGGAATTCAACCCCACCTCCAACAGAGGAGTTAACTTCTACTTGTGSTCCACCATGAGGCCCCACCATGGCCAAAGATATTGGAAGAACTTGACAGATCATGTAGCTCCTCATCTGGACAAAACCACTGAGTTTGACATCAGGTCTAAAAACAAACAGAAATATTCTGAGCAGGCCCAGCAGGGATTTTTTGCTCCTTTCCCACTTGCCACACGTTACTCAACCATCATCAGCATCATCTCTCCACTAAAGCTCTTGCAGGGTCTTCTCTAACTCTGCACTCTGGTACGCTCTGCACTATCAGTGTCACAAGCAGAAGAAGAGAGGACACAGGAGAAGAGAGGGGACACAGCACAGCATCAACCAAGCCAGTGCTAGAAATATGTCTCCAGATGTCCAGCATGA